TAAAAAATACCTGTTAATGTTGCATTAACTGAACCAAATGTGTTGTGGTAACATAATGGACATTTTAACTGGAGACAGACATATATTATGTTTTATATTATCATTTTCCAGATTATTTAAGTAAACTGACATTTCATAATCAAAATTTAAGCATAAAACTAACAGAAAATATGGAAATAACCATTTGGTAAAGCCTTTTAATTGTATTTATTCTCATTGAAAAATTGGAATTCTTGTCAGGGACACCCCTATTTTTGCATGTAACATATTTATAAATGTTCATAAATATTTATTTTTTTACAAAATGCATTTTTAATTAATGCTAAAATATAGTTTTTTGTCTATATTTATTAAAAAAATCAAAACAATGTACTATCTGTGCATTCTGAACACTAAAAAAAATGTTAAAAGTAAGGGGACAGCAATATTGACAATTTCTGATAATGACTCATTTACATTCAACAAAAAGGTGTGTCTTTATTTCACTTAGTATTGCACAAGCCTTATTAAAAAGTACATAGAGCACATCCGTTATCCTCAAGGTACAAACAACGCGGATAGGTAGATATTTATACTTTTTGTATACTTTCTATAAAATAAAATGTTACTTATCGCTGTCAAAACTCATGATAAGTAGTAAATCTTAGGAATTGTATTATTTTAAACTTTTTTCTCTTATTTGGAGCACCAAGGAATGGTATTTTTTCCTGTTTAGGTAGGAGGACTTGTGGTCACTTGGAGCCGCAATTGGAATGTGAGTACCGTCTATGGCCCCAACAACTCCTGGGAACCCATTAACGGCCTGAAACTGCTCCTGTATGATCAGTTGTAGTCTTGCTCCTTGATATACGATGGCAATGTTATTCTTAGTGGACTAATTTACGTAAAATATATATGAAGGATATGCTATTAGGAAAGAAATTAATTGAAATAGGAAGAATACGGTACGTTTATGTAACAAAGGCTAACACAGTAAAGCATATGTGTATTTCAGACATTTGTAACGAATAGGTTTCGTATTTATGTGCCAAACGAATGCACCTAACAGCAAGAGTTGTCGCTAGTGTGAACTTGCAACGGCGCCATGTTTTAAGTTGACAGAAATATTGTGGCAATTCGTCATTGGGATTTAAACGCGATTTAATGTAGTTTGCAAGTGTTACATGCGTCTCATATGAAGTAAGTACTGAATATAGTATTTTAAAGAATCGTCGTTCGTTCACCATTGTATATATCTTACACGTTGCTAGCTAGGCTATGTGAACACAAGGGCTTGTAAGTTTCAAACTTGCTTATGAATTCGGGAAGATACTGGAATGTAACGTCACGCTACCACAATTGCTGATATCCGCCATGTCGGAATTAGCGTGCGGAGAACGTGATTGGAACGTACTGTACCATTTAGCGGACCCGTTCCAAGTTGGCACAACCGGAACGTTCCGCTAAATGGAACACGCTACTAATGTCATCTCTAGTTCACACCAAACGTCATCTCCTATTCACACGAAACTTCATCTCCTATTCACACCAGATGTCATGTATTCACACGAAACTTTATCTCCTGTTCACACCAGACGTCATCCCTAAGTCAAACCAAAGGTCATCCCGGATTCACCATTCATTTCAACAAACGTCATCTCCTGTTCACACCGAACGTCATCTCCTATTCACACCAATGGTCATCTCCTATTCACGCCAAACGTCATCACTGGTTCACACCAAAGGTCATCCCGGGTTCACGCTTCAATTACAACAGACGTCATATCTAGTTAATCAAATTGCATATCCGGTTCATAAGTCTTCACATCAAAAGTCATCTGCCAGTTCATCACTGGAAATCTTCTTCTTTTTTGATTCTGAGGAAGCAACCTTTCCATGAATAAACAATAAAACGAGATGGTAATTGATATTACCTATATAATACCTGTTCTTGTCAACAATTTTCGAGTTATGCCGGATGGCTCTTTAACAGTGCCCTCGATCATCAGCTGTAAATATTTGACATTCCAACTCAACTCTGAACTATTAAAAATGTTTTAAAGAATGGATTTAGATATGTGTAAAGATCGTTAGATTATTCGTATAATAATTAAACTAACAATCATTACGCAATATTCAAGCGCAATCATATATATGCAATGCCCTTCTCCGAGATTTGTTGTCAATACTGAGATAATATGTAAACATTGCTGTTAATGTTCAGGGGCGGATCCAGGATTTCCTAAAAGGAGGGGGCCGAGAATTTTTTTTTCAATAGTCAACGGTGTGCTCCGAAAGGCAGCAGCCCGAGCGCGTAGCGCGAGGAGGGGGAGGGTACAGACCCCCTCCCCGTAAGGGGTCTTGGGGGATCTCCCCTCCAAAAAAATGTGTTTTCTAGAACGTCTCAGAAGCGTTTTCCCGTGTTCTGAGGATTGTTTTTATGTTTAATTAACAAGAAGAACAAAACATATTTTAAGTATGGCCCAAAGAATTTTTTGTGTACTGGAAAGAAAATTTAAGTTTCGGTTCAAATTCTCTATCAACAGCGTGTTTTTGAAGTCAGATGGTATTATTATAGGGGCAACCTGGTGATGACAAATGTATGAATCCACAGGGGACTTGTTCATTATTACCTTATTTGGCGTCCCGCCCGCAAGGGGGATACGAGAGGTCCACCGTCAAAATATAAATCCAGTCTTCAGACATTGTACGTTTGTCGTACAAAAGAACAAATAACACCATAACATCGTTGCTGTTTAATTAATGAGTTACTCATGGCATCACTAAGTTGGTAAACAAACGGTAAGTTCAAATCAGTGCGACACCCAAGGCCACTAGCTATATACAGGGGCGTTTCTAGGATATTTGAAAGAGG